TTGCTGTGTCGACGCGGCTACCCATATTTTTCTACCATGAACAGCCTAAATGTGAGAATACAAAGAAGCGTAGGGCTAAAACCGACCTAAGTCAACCTAAAACTCCATTGTTCCTCTACGAAGAAGTCAGCCGATGACTTAAGCCAGTCCAAAGAGCGTTTTATGCATTCTCATCTTAAAACATAGAGGCTTTTTTCTTACGGAAGTCCTCGATTGACATAACTATACCATTAATCATATATTTAAAAATCTTCAGCTCAATGTTTAATCGTCTTTTTAAGAGATTTTTTATGTTATAAGTACATACTCCAAATGTTTAACTTTCCTGAAAATATTGAAGATAATTAAATTCGTTTTTTTTCTGTTCGAAAATGTATACAAACTTCTGTACCATTTCGGCCCTTCAGCAAAATAATATAATTCGCATTTTTGGAGTGCCCTGAATGAATGGCATATTTCGAAGGTCCTTTCAATGTGGTACACTACCTCATGTAGTGCTATTTCAATTTATTTATTTTTTCGCATCTTGCTCTTGATCATGGCGTCGACCTACGTACCTTAATTTTAGGGTAAGAAGTAAAAATAAAATAATATTTTACAAATTTTATATTTCAAAGTTGTAAATCAATACCAAACAATTTGCTAAATCGAATATGGCAGTCCTTTTCTTAAGTACTCGACCTTATAATTTTTCTATGGTAGAATAATACAGGTAACAGCAAGTGTTGTTGTACAACAAACCTAACACCAATCATATATAAATTTGTTTTGGTATGTATACAAGTGCTAGAGTTATAAGTCCAAAAATGTAAACGAAACAATTAGTTTTCATTAAATTATTTTAATTTGAAAAATGTACATTTTTGAATTTGTATTTTTATATTTCATATGCAGAAGAATAGTTCTTACATGGTATAATAAAAAGGTAAGGTAGAGCTACCAGCTGATTACAATTTTTTTCTAAGTGTGCCCGACTTCTGCCAATTTTGTGTATGTATTTATTGATTTGAAAAATAAAAATAAAATATTTTCAAAATCAATGAATGAAAATGCGTACATTGTGGGACGCGCATTGAAGCCATTCGTCAGTTTTGCAATGTAATTCGATAATCGGGCTGTTTATATCATATTTTTGAAAGAAAATCGTGGCATTTCATTCATATTTCTCACTGTTTAACTGTTTTTAAAAAATAGGAAAAATATTGAATAAATGAAAACAAATTGTTTGCATGCAAAATTAACATTCCCCTGAATGTATAATTGTTAGCTGTATGCCCAAAAAAGTGTATACCTTTAGTATTTAAAAAATTAAATAAAATTTCACACTGCTGTGGTTCGCTGCTAACTGTAATAATTATACCATATTTTTCAATCAAAATTTATTATCATATCTGAAATATTTACGTATGACAAAATTTACCAAATTTTACAAAAATAATATATAATCTATTATTTTCGGCGTTCTTGGTTATATGTTCCATATTTTAGGAGGACGAATTCTATTTATCTGGTCTTAAACTGAAATATATACAAATATATATTTTAAACTCTTCATCTTAAGGGAACATTCTCGGTGAAATGTTCAGCAATGAAATTAAGGCCAATTGGAGTAAAAATTCGAGATGACAAATTTTTACCAGCATTATAGCAAAAAGAGTCGCGATATTGTCTATTTTGATACTTTGAAACAAAATTCAATTATTAAATCAGTTCCATAATTAAGCCTTACATGACTTATGAGTGTAATATTTTAGTTTTTATATCCTTCCTTATTTTTTATTCCTTCTAAGAGGAGTTAAAATTGGGTCCCGAACTTTGAATATCCTTCACCATTCGGAAGAAACTTGAAAATTATTATATAAGGGTTATACGAAGACGTGGTACTGATTAAGCAATTTTCCAAAAGAAAACAATTATATAAGGTAAATACGAAATGTTAAAAAATCCGCTGAGTAATGTCGCCAAAATCATCAAAATACGAATATCGGAATCAATCGTTATAAGGAGACTATAGGAAAACATGGATCGAAATATACGAATTTAACATGTGCAAAATTTAAACCTTCTGCCTCAACTCGTTTCAAGGATAGCATGATTACCACAGACAAACTGACATCGCTAAATTGTCTTAGAATTTGAGGCTGATCAGGAATATATATATTCATTCTTTGTTGGATTGTATCGAGGAGATACAAACGGATTGACAAAGTTATTATACCCTCCACAGTGTAGCTCTTTTCCGAAACAAGGAAGAATCCACTAGTTTTACAATTTTCTTCGATATCTCAAAGGAAAAAAATCGGCTTTCGTAGTAAAAACTTTTACATTCTTGAAGTTCTGGCTGGATATTATCTATATAATTATACCATGGTTGTAAATGTATATTTTTAATTAAAAAATGTGTTTTAATAATAACTGGCCTTAACGTGTCAACTTGTAAAATACTATAGCAAAAATTTGTTTTGGTAAATCAGCAAACATACCTTACTTTCAAATGTCATAATTTGCCTCCACAAATCGAAAAATTTTACAAAGAATTATTTTGATTTTTTTGTCTGAATATTCCAACATTCACCCGTCCAAATCTCCACACCCGCAACATGTGGCTTCACCATTTTTATCATAAAGAAAATAAGAGTCCCATACAGTGTTGCCGTTTTGGGCGTTCCCGTCCAAATTTGGGCGGAAAAAAGATAAATTTTGTGGTTTGGGCGGATTTTTTCCATATTGGGTACAAATTTATTTTTCATTGTTTATTTTTACGTAATTTAATTTTTTTATTACTAACTGAATTTTATATTTTTTTATTGAGATAAATCGTTATTTATTTTATAGATTTTTGTTAAGTTTTTTAATAATATATATAATACATTAGGCTAAAGTCGTGCGGGCCCGACCATGTGATACCCTACAACAATAAAATATGTTAGAAGCCCCCTCATGTCCAAATCCATTTTGGAAGATTTCGCTTTTGAAATTATGTCACGGAGCACTGCCCAGATATTACCCTTAGCATTTTGATCAAGGACATTTTTTATTTACGTGCTGTTAGTTGTTGTGGGCCATTTTATAGCTATATATATTCCAATGGTCATCCAAAATGCCAGAATTCTTCCCTGTGTTTACCTATCTTCTCAGGCGTGTCGATTGGCTTCAATTGTGTGATCAGGAATTTTTTTTCTTTTTTGGTTCATTTAAACCCCTAAATATTTTGCGATCATCTCCAAAAGCAAGAGGCCCATCTGTGTCTCCAAATTTAGACTCATCTATATGATTAGCTTGTCTACGATATTTGGCTATATTCGTCAACGAAATCAGCATAAAAAAGCCAGAAGTTCGCCTATTGTGTATCGCCTGTGAGTAATGTTGGTATTTTTTTACACAAAAGTAGTGGTCCATTCTACCCGCTGTCCTAAGCTCTAACTTCATGCGAGATTTCCAGTCCTTAGGTTTATATTTGGGACCTTTATAACGGCTGCAAAATCAGGAACATTTTGAGTTGCTGATTCATTTCAACCCCTAAATATATTGCGGACATCTTTGAAAACAATAGGCTAAGCCCTTCTGAGCCTAACCCTACCTTTGTGAAAAATTTCGTGAGGATCGAACGATAATTGCAATCTGTATATAAATAATAACCCTAACCTGTGTTGTAAAGTGAAAAAATGTTACAAAACAAATACTTCAATATTATAAATCAATTTGAAAAAATCGCATGCGATAAAAAATATGAAAAAATTAAAAAAAAGTCACAAAATACTACAAAATCTATATGAACATCATTATTGGTATCTTTTCATGCGATTTTTTAGTATTTATACTTTAATGCCACAAGGGCATTCTAAATTGACAAAATTTGTCATAACGCTCCAGCCATTCTGAAGATATAAGCATTCTAGCTGACATCCCATTCCTTTGTATATATACATTGTATATATTTCTCTATATATATCCGATATTTTTACTATCGGCATCTACGTAACGGTCAGAATTGACCTGTTCGTCTATTTGTGATTTCGCCGGCAGTAAAAATATTCGCGGATTTATGGAAAAATTGACTTTTATTTATCGCAAATGCTATGGTCTACTAAACCACTAAATATTACCCGATGACCATCAAAAGTGGAAGGCTTCTGCCAGTCCAAAGCTCTAGCCCCATGCTAAATTTCGATTGGTCTATAATTGTGACCTGTAGAGCAACTGCAAAATCAGGAAATTTTTCAGTTTTTGGTCCATTTCAACCCCAAAATATTATGCGATCATCTCCAAAAGAAATAGGGTTCTATTCTGACCTTAACCCCAGCTACATTCTAAATTTCGTGAAGATCGGGCCATAATTGCGACCTGTAGAGTGATTACAAATTAACATGTACAGACGGACGGACGGATATACATAGCTAGATCGATTCAGCTCGGCGAGATAGAAAGATCCATATATACTTTCTTGGTGTTACATAATTTTTGGCCCAATCAAAGTTATAATACCCCCAACACATAGTTTGTAGGGTATAAAAACCTGAATAATAATAATGATTTTAATGTATTTAATACATTGAATTCTTGTATTACGTTACTTTTCAAATATATATATATATATATATATATAATATATATATACAAAAAAAACTTGAAGTAAAATAACATAACATTTTTATTTTCTCTAATGTATTTAATACATTGAATGTAATAAAACTTGAGTACCTTTTTATGTATAGTGTAAAATTTTCAATAAAATTTACTTGAATACAAACTACATATAAATTATTCAACTTTTTACAGTTTGGGCGGATATGGTCGATTTTGGGCGGTTTTTAGAAAACATTTGGGCTGAAATAAACATTTCAAACGGCAACACTGGTCCCATACTGATATTGAGGCAGAGAGCGAGAGCTAAATTGTGTGAGCAACAGATATGAGAGCGGACGAGATTGCCGATTGTTGTTTTGATTCTCTTCAGAAATGAAATGTTGTTTTGTTTTGTACGAGGTTCACTGTTAAACGCTGAGAGGGCAATAAAATCAGTTGATAATGAAACTCTCACAACGTTGAATGTGGCGATTGACGAAGGCGCTTCATTGTTTTGTTTGATAAAAAAATTGTTAAAGAACGAGAAGAGATTTTCGGTAGCAAATTGTTGTTTTCGAAATAAAAAGGGAAAATTTTCAAGAAAAAGAATATAAATTATCCTAAAGAAAATTAAGCAATAAAATTGTGCAAAGGAAAAAGTGACAAGTGCATTGAAGAAGAAAACCAAGAGGAAACAAAAGAACCAAAACATCACTGGTGTCGCGGCGTTTTGTTTTTAAAATTGCTGTGCGTGTGCGTTCTGGCGGCCGGTCGTTAAATAAGTTCTCTGGCTAAAATAAAACAGAAAGTGTTGAAAAGGAAATTTTGCAAATATAAATTAAAAAGAAACAACAATAACAACAAGAATAAAGGCTAGAATTTTTGTATAGAATAATTTCAAGAAAGCGAAGATGAAGATTGCAAAATTTCGAAACAAAAAAATCTAAATAAAAGTGCAATCAATATTGTGATATCAAGTGCCTTAATTTGGGAAAATATAATAATTTTCCACCAATTATTTTTGTAAATTAAGTGGTGATTTTCCAATTTTTTTTTGGAAAATGTAAACGCCCCTGCTTATCTGCCCACAATTTCAAAGAAAAAAATGCCAAGAAAAATAGAGGGGTTTTGTTTTTATGTATTATAAAACAACAACGACGACAAAAAAAACCAACCAAATAGTCAACAACGTCAAAATCGAATCGCGGCATACAACCACGCAGTTTTTTTCGGTTTGTTTTGCATTTTATTTTATCTATGACGTTTGACAGCAACAAAAAAAAAATCAAAGTGGCAATTGCAATAATTATTTCCATTATTTAAATTGAAAATTTCAAATAAAGCTAAAATTTGATTTTTGGGATAATTCGGTGAGCTAAACTTGCGCCTAAGAAGTTAATCTGTTTGGAAACCAACGGGCAACAACAACAATAACACGTTTTGGATATAATTCAGTTTGGAGTTGTTCTTGTTTCAAAATATAAAAAGAAGTAGCAACAACAAGGCCACCACTGCCAAGAAGTCAGCCAGTCAGTCAGTCCATCATCCAAGTCAAGTCAATTGGTCAAACCCTGCAGCAATTTTTGGTCGAGCAACGCTAAACCACCATAGCATGTTTCTTGTCGTCGTCTACTCGACTAAGTCGGCCAAACAGTTTTAAACGCAGGTAGGTAAACCCACAAACCTTTTTATGAACAAAAAAAAAAAAAAAAAAAAAAAAAAAAACAACCAAATAGACAGACGGACGAACAGAATGGCAGACAGCCAAAGATTTTATGAATTTTTAGAGTGTGTATTAAACCAACAGAAACACGAAACCCACACTCAAAACTGTTTTTAAACACTTGTTCCTTCTACTCTGCTCTACTAATCTTCCAGGAGGGGTTCGAAGAAAAGGAGTTTTTAATTTTTTAATGATTTAATTACAACGTTTTAATTTCATTTTCTCAAATATTTAAAGACTGTCATTAAATAGTAATTGGTTAGATTAAATTTTTCGTAGTCCACTATCGTTCGATTTATAATAGACCCGACCCCATGTCCATTGTCATGGATCCGACAAAAATTGTTTCGACATTTTGAACATTTCGCCGACCAGGGATGGCATTAGAACTCTATCAATAAGCGTCCAACGATTGTATATGGGGGGCTATACATGCAATGTTCCGCCAGTGAAACTTGAATTCCTTATGACCTACATATACCAATTTTTAGACAAATGCGTGGAAAAATGTGGCAAAAATCGTAAGAAAACCCAATATCGGGAGATACCGTTATATGGGGGCTATACGAAAACGTGGACATATACATACAATGTTCTGCCACCGGAGCTAGAACTCATTATGACCTACAAATACAAATTTTTAGACAATGGGAAAATGTGGCAAAAATCATCAAAATACCGAATATCGGGAGGTAGCGTTATATGTGGGCTATACGAAAACGTGGACCTATACATGCAATGTTCCGCCACCGGAATTAGAACCCATTATGACCTACATATACCAATTATTAGACAAATCCGTGGAAAAATGTGGCGAAAATCTTCAAAAATACGAATATCGGGAAGTACCGTTATATGGAGGCAACACAAAAACGTGGACCTATACATACAACATTTCGCCACTGGAGCTGAAACCCATTATAACCTACATATTCCAATTCTTAAACAAATCCGTGGAAAAATGTGGCAAAAATAATCAAAATTACAGAATATCGGGAGGTACCGTTATATGTTGGCTATACGAAAAAGTGGACCTATACATGCAATGTTCTGGTAGTGAAACTAGAACCCCTTAATACCTACATATACCAATTTTTAGACAAATCCGTGGAAACATGTGGCGAAAATCATCAACACACCGAATATCGGGAGGTACCGGCTATACCAAAACGTGGACCGATACACACAATACAAATTGTTCTGCCAAACTTTGAAGGTCTACGTCAAATAATGTGAGCTGTATCGTGATTTCAACAAACAGACAGACGGCAGACAGACGGGCATTGTTAAATCGACTTTGAATTTTATGGTGTTCATCATCAATATATACTTTATGGGGTCTACGGCGAACATTTAGGGATGTTACAAACAGAATGACAAAGTTAATATACCCTCCTTTTCAAGGTGGAGGGTATAAAAACAAATAAAAAACTGCTAAGTTCAGCCGGGCAGAATTTTTAATGCCCTCCACATTTTAGAAGGAACTTGAAAATTGGAAAAAAAAAATCCGTTAAAAAATACGGTTATAATTTTAAAAATTCCGAATATCAGGCGTCACAGTTATTTGGGGCTATACGATAACATGGACCTTTGCAGCCAATTATCTGCCAGAGAAGGATGTGCCCATTGCGAACTCAATGCACAAATCTTGAGATAATTCTGTTAAAAAATGTAGCTAAACTCAACAAAATACCTAATATGGGGAGTTACCGTTATATAGGGACTTTATGATCAATTTTCTGTCCACCAAGTCTAAAACAGTTCAAGTAAAATCATAAAAATTTCATATTTTACTCTTGCCGAGAGTTTTTAGTTTACTATAGAAAAAAAAGGACAAAGATTAGAACTTCAAAGCAGTAAGGAAAAGTCAAGAGTCGGGCGAGTCCGACTTTTGATACCCTACACCACTATGAATATTTAGTAGATCTCCCGTTACAAAAGAATTTATTTCAAGTAGATCATACCATTTGTCATTAAAGCAGTTATGGTTTGCTATAGAGTGCATGATATCACTTGGAGAAGGGTTATATTAAAAAATATATGTATCGGAGCCGAGTTGCATACAATGGAAAAATACGTCCCGAATTTCCCTCCATTTGAGCTGATAACAGTCATTATTTGCACAATAAACCTGAAATCCGATTAAGGATATATATATATATATATATATATATATATATATATATATATATATATATATATATATATATATATATATATATATATATATATCAAATTTGGAAAAGGTATTCCCGAGCCTAATAAGATATCTGGTCACAAATGTCATTGTTGTCGAATGCATATTACGAATGTGAGGGACTTAAACACCAAATTGGATGTGACATATATATGGGAGCTATAGTTATATCTTAGCCGATTTTCTCTAAATGTGATGTACTTGCTTCTAGACTGAATTCGGTGGGGTGTACCAAAATTCAGGTTATTTGGACTTATATTGGCTATCTGGTGCACATTTAACTCGAAATCGGATGAAGATATATATGGGAGCTATATCTAAATCTTGTCCGATCATCACCAATTTCAATAGGGTTCGTCCTTGGGCCAAACAAATATTGTTTGCAACATTTTATATCAATCGGGTAATAAATGAGACCTGATTTTTTTTGCAAGAATACATGGACGGACGGACTGAAATCTACTCAGAAAGTGCTTCTATGAAGATCCTCAAACGTAACTATGGGACTTTCTCGCTTCCTTCCCTATGTTACAAACAAATGCACAAAGACATAATTCCACTACCACTTACCACTATGTGGTATAGGGTATAAAAATACTCATAATATATCATGAGTTTGAATATTGAAGGGCCCACTATGCATAATCCATGTTACGAAGTAGTCCTCAGATTATTGTCAACGGCCGATATTCGATTTTTTGAGGAAATATAACACGTGTTGGAAAAAAATGGGAAAATGTTTTCAGTTCCTCATGGAGGATAATCGGAAAAGTTCGGCCGATTAGAAGTTCAGTCAAATAGCTACAAAGGGTATATATCATTTGTGACTCACCGAAATCCCTTTAGATCCCTGTAGATCTACTCTCCCAGCGATTATCTGATTTGGCCCAAACCTGGTACATCGTAATATTTTTACCAACCAAATTCGAACTTGGACAACAGCAGACCACTCCTCCCAGTACCCCAACCCCAGGAAAGTTTTAAATTTGGGAAAAAATATCATGCAGAGCGAAGGAAAAAAGACATAGGTCTTGTGGGATAGACAGTATTGGTCCATTCATTCTTGTACCTACCCGACAAAATTTTGAATAATAATAACTCGATTACATTTGGAAATCAAATCCTTACATTTTTATCTATATTAAAAAAGTTCTGAACCGATTTTTAGCACATTTCGTGAAATAATTTCTAGGCTATCTATTATATTTGGACAGATATTGCATCTTTGGTGTAAGTGAAATCGGGTGAACATATTGATAGGAGGCACATCCAAATCTGAACCAATTGGCACCAATTTCAAAAGACTTTGAAAATTTTTTTTCTCAAATTGACAATAAAATGTCATCTGTATTTTGATTAAAAATTTAAACCAAGTAATGGTCCTTTGGTCTGCCACTATAATGTCCCAAGAATATATTCTAAAAAGATTATTCCCAATTACCATGTTTCCTATTACCTCCCCTTATTTGAATAATCTTAATTTTGTGTGCTACTACTTATTAAACTGGAAGCAACCTGTAGTTCACCTTAAAGGTATTGCAGCATGTATGGGCCTGCATGAGTTTGAAACAAAATACGAGTATCAGATGTTATAAAGATAATATAATTAATTATAGTTTAAAATTAGTTAAAAATAAAATTTATCTTGATCGTGTAATGAAAGGAGTTGGAAATAAAATAATAAAAAAAACAAAACTCGATTTGAAACTAGTATTAGACGATGGCCAACTGGCGAAGAGATACACATAATCATATCAACAACAACAGCTAAAGTAATCAGCGATAAAAAAGGAAAAAGGTCTGATCATCATTACCATCCTCAAATGATGCTGCCATTGCTGCTGCTAAACAGAAGCTACAGCCGCTGTGGCATCAGACAAACAAAAATAATAACACATTTAATGACGGCCAAGTGGTTGGTAGTTCTACTTCTTCTTCGTCAAAAGGCTTGTCAAGTGACTGATCATTTGTTTGTGGCCAGTTGTGATCCCGGTCCATTCTTGGCGGAACGGCGTGCGAGTGCCACGGTAGCGAGCAATGAATGAAGACGGCTTGGAGCACATTCAATAAAATTGTTGTAATTAAAATCAAAGCATAATAATGACCATAAAAATAATGATGATGATGATCATCATCCGCATCATTGTAGTGCGTATCATTGAGACGACATGGTACACCGACATCTTTTGTAAAATCTCAAAACAGGATTTTTTATGAATTAAATAGAAAACCACTTCTGTTTTTGGTATCAGTTTTTGTTTTTTTTTTGGGAGTTCTATTTTCTTTGCCTAGGTGTTATAAGCTGAAAGGTAAACAAATTTGAATGTTATGTTTTTCTTTTGGTCATTCTTTGTTATCATGAGGTGTCAGTCTGTCATCAGGAAAAAGGGGGAGGGGGGAATGGACCCCGGGAAACAGTTTTGACAATGTTACAGTTGTTTCTTCTGAAGTGTCGTGTAAGGCGATGCAGATCTTAACATCTCTTTGCTGTCAGTTTTGGGCGGAAGTTGTTTTTAATTTTTATACTCTACGCCATACGGTAATGCATTTGTTTGTAAAATACAAATAGTAGGTCAAATTGTGCCACCGTGAAATAATGGTTTGGACCCTAGGTCTCATTGGATGAAATCAGTTGTAGGACAATGCAAAATTGCGCAATTTTTTTAGCTTGCAAACATTTTATAATAAAACCTTCATGCGCCGTAGTAAATTTTAAGATTTTCAAGGTTTTATATATTTTTCAAGT